TCGCTTATGGATATAAGGATGGTCTGTTTAGTATGAGTTCTCGGATACAAAATGGCGTTGGTTGTCTTTATAATCATGGTGTAAGGCAAAAAGGTTGGAAGTCAACAATATGGCTTCGTAGACGCATAAGCGCACCAATATAATGTTTGATACCTATAGCGCGTGGTCACCAGGGAATAATTGGCTTTGAGGCTGGATGAGCTTAAAACAAAATGGCGTGGATTGACTTGCCGCTGATAATAAAGGCTGTAATAAAAAAAAATAAATAAAAAAAACCTAGACTGAACAAAACTTGTCAAACAACGCCATGTCGCTATGGATTTTAACGCACCAGTTATATATATTAGAAATTTACAAACGTCGGTGAACAGGAAAACAATTGTAGTTTGGTCATCGATATATGTTACCGTTTTCATACTTAACTTATGCTATGGAGTCGTGATGAGCACCGGGTTTATCATGATAGCATAGTAAACAGGGCAGACCAAAAGATTGAAACCACAACGACTTGGGATCATACAAGAAAAAACTGTATCACACATCTGAGATACATCTATGGGTTGTGATTTCGAAGGCAGTTATTTTTTGCTCTATAACGCCACCTCCCGGAACACTGGCATGAGATATTTCAAACCTCATTTTAAAATACTAGTTTGGTTTTGTATATGGGGTATATTGTATCTGTAAGGCCCAATATTGTATCGGTATTCTATGTATAAGGGATGCTACACTGTTGCATACAGGGTAACATCCTCCACGTCTATTCGCGCGAAATTATATTTTAAGAAAGTCTTTCCTCCCGCGTAAGACCCGATGCGCATCTGAAACAAAATGGCGTCGTTTGTGGTCAGCATCTTACCAAACAAAACAAGAGAGCGATGCTTAAATATATCGACAAGGCGTAACATAGTTACGCAATCTGTTACAGCAGCGTACCGGTACCGCAGCTTTCAATACTTCGCTGGACCACAAGATCGCTAACGCGAGGGCGGAACCGCCTAAATAAGGATAAGATATGGATAAATCCCCGAAATTTTTTGAAAAAAATAAAAAATAGCCTTCGAACAATGAGTACAAAGTTTAACCACTGAAAATCTCTAAGCAATTGGTCCAGTATAGTCAAAGAGAAAGATTATTACATACGATAGCAACAAGAAGAGAAATACTAAACAACACAATACTAACAAAACGTCCATTTTGTGTTCAATATTCAATGCTCACGGCACAGAAAAAACACATTGTGGGCTATGAATAACGTTTTACATTGCCGATGTGGTTAACCACCATGCCTATACTAAAACGGACAAGTTTCTAAACTGCTGAAAATTATGATTTTAATCCTATTACTGCCTAACCACTAATTTACTGATATGTTAGAATGGGTCTTACATAATAGTTTAGGTCAGCGGGCTGGGATGCAGTTTCAGGGTTGCCAGTTATCCACCGTTGTGCCGAGAACTTTCAGCTAGTCATTGGCATGTGTTAACGATCAGCGTGAAATTAACGGAACTATTTTCGAAACTGAAACTCAGCAATATATATTCAAAATTTTTAATTTGCTCGCCATTCACCAGCTGTTATGTCTCTGACTATAGGTGCAAACGTACATTCACTGCGGAGTGAATGTTCCTACTATTGATATGTCAGAGTGAAGTTAATAAATCCCTGCGTGTATGTATATTCAAACCAGCAGAATGAATTCCAACTCTGGAATCACTGTATGTATGCTATTCAAAGATACCCAAGTCTATAGATCCGACGTCAAGTCGAGTAGCGGTGACACACGACCCATCCACGAGAAACGCTTGCAACGACACCTGTATATGTATTTTCTTATTCATGCTTAAAGATAGATACGCCACGCAGCCTCTTTGAGGACTGGACAAAATTTTTTGTAAGAGGTTAGTTCTACGAGAATGTCGCCTTGGGAAATGGTTGATTCTGAAAATTAGTTTCTAAATTCCGTTGTATGATAATCCTGACCTCGGACGTTCAATTATTATCATATGTTTAAATAAAAACTAGACTTCAAAAATAAAGATTAAACTATTTTATCGGACTTGGATAAACTCAGATTTTTCCCTCCAATAATTAAATCATAATGAAACAGTTTGGATTTAAAAGGGCGCACACATTGGTAAAAATCTATAATGTTTTTGCACTTGTCCTCTCGTTAAATCTTTCGCCGTTTTGCCTGATGCCTATATTTATGGCATGTGGTAAGCCGTATGTGTTCACCTAAATCGATGCATCTTATCTTCGTGAAGTGATATTTCAACATTCTTTCGCACTCGAGACCGATGTTCGTGTGAAACAAAATGGCGTTGGCTGTGTTCAACATCTCAATTAAAGTGTCCTGAAACAGTTATCCATGATATGTATTACAATAATGTTAAATAACTGCAGTGGCGGCGCGTCAATAGGGCCAACCGGCGCAATGCCCCGGTTGTTTTTTCGGTATAATAAAAAATATTCGAAAAATACCTCAATATCGGTTGCACAGACTGTCTACACTAGCCATATTCTCCCGACATGGTTCATTTTTCGCTCGCAAAGCCTTCGCCGAACGTCGACGGGGCGACGCCGATTTTGCCCCGGTTGCTCATTGTATATCGTATTCTCTCTTTTATATTCCACTCGCCGCGTTCGTCTCGTTTGTTTTCTGTTTCTTTTACTAAATCATCGGGGCCGATCGGGGCTAGCCCCGAAATTATGACGACACAATGCCGACGCTTCTTACAACAACGTGTTGACATATTCACGCATTCCTTCTCGTTCGTTGGTTGCTTGAAGAGTTGATAGTTTCCTCGCCTTCGTTTTTGTCGCTTGTTTCGCTATTTGTCAGTTAGAGACCTTCAGTCCATTTGCCTTCGATTTTCCACATTCCTTTTGAGCTCCTCACTTCTTTCCGGCTTCGCATTTCTTAGCCTTAGACCTCATAATGAATAAGGTTGATGCACTACTTCGCACTCCGTTTTAGAGATACAACGTCTTGGGCCTTATCAACCAAAAAATTGTTCACTGGAACAATCCCATGACGGAGGAAAGCGTCGGCGTAAATTCTGCGCAGAAACTTGATATAAAAAACACGAATGGTTGTTTTACAGCCAGGACAAAAATGCATTTTTTTGTTTTTATTGCCTACTTTTTGCTACCGCCCGTGACTCACGTTGGTGTAAATTTGGTTTTAGAGATCTTAAACATCTTTCCGAGCGTGCCAGGGATCATCAATCTTCTATGGAGCATCTGGACAATGCAGTAAAATACCGAACATTCGGAAATGTTAATATTGCAGCACAGTTGGATGAAGGACGCGCGGTTTCTATTCGTCGGCACAACCAAAACGCCGAGAAAAACCGCCATGTTCTCGGTCGATTGATAGATGTTTTGAAGTTCATTGGTTGTCACGAGCTGTCCCTCCGTGGACACGATGAACGGGCTGGCTCTTCTAATAGAGGGATATTTTTGGATATGGTGGAATACACCGCATCCCTAGATACAGTATTGAGAGATCATCTTGATGCCGCAACTGTTTCGAAAGGGACATCTAAGGATATCCAAAATGATTTGCTCGACTCAATGTATAAAATTTATTTACAACATTTGGCTCTGGAAATTGAGAATTGCCAGTTCCTTTCGATTTAGTCTAACGAGACAACTGACATCACGTGCGTTTTCCAACTGGCTGTGATTTTTCGGTTTGTGAAAGATGGTAAACCTACCGAGAGATTTCACAGCTTTGTACCAATCGTTGATCGCACGGCTTGCGGGATATAGGCTGTACTGAAAGAAGTGTTACAGCCTTACAACGCGAAGTCAAAATTGATAGCTCAAACTTATGACGGCGCGGCAGTCATGAGTGGGTCGAAACATGGTTTTCAAGTTTATATAAAAGAAGATTTTCATCATGCGCATTTTTTTACATTGTTATGCACACCAATTTAATCTCGTTATTATAAATATGTGTCTTGATACCCCTCTCCTCCGTATATTTTTTGCCAATGTTTCGGGGTTTTCTTCATTTTTTTCCGTTTCGCCGAAGCGCTCTGACCGCCTTCGCCAGATATGTAGCCGCCGTCTCCCAGCTTGTGCACCAACACGTTGGAACTTCCAATCACGCGTGGTGCAGGGCGTGTCCGAAATTAGGTCTGAGCTCATTGAGTGTTTCAATGGCATTCAGAACTCTCCGGTTTGGGACGAACGCTCTGTAAGGGAGGCGGCAGGTCTAAAGCGTCTGCTAGAAGATGGTGAGTTTTCATTTTTTCTCGCTTTTTTCTCCACAATATTCTATCACGTGGATGTATTATACGGCGCATTGCAGTCAAGGCTAATGGATGGAGCGTCTGTGCAGTCGTGTATTTCAGACTTCTGCGATGCTGTATCTCGTATCCGGGAAACAATAAAATACGACGACACATGGAGTGCTTCTTTACGCCGCGGGCAAACAACGCAGCGTTTGATTTTGTCTGCAAAGGAATGCTGTGACATTCTGGTGAATTAAATAGGCGATCGTCTGCGCACTGAACACCTTGCCGCGTTCTCTTTGATGAACCCCAAAAAATTTTCAAAATTTGCACGTCAATTTCCCATCCATTTGTTGGCTACTGTCTCCAAATTTTATCCCATGATAAACGTGGGTAAATTGGAAAATGAATTGCGATGTATATACACTGTCGGCGATAGAAGTTTCTTTTCAGTTGATTATTATTTTGAACGCTGTTCTTCCTTGTGTTCCGACCGGCTAATTTTTATCGATAATTGCTTTTCTGTTTTGACGCGAATTTCGCGGGCTTTACTGCACCTGACGTGTCACGCGTGGCTCTTGCATCTCGACTTTATGCGTCGTAGGACGTTCTTGTTTAATCTTGTTATGGTGTCAGTGGTGTGGTTTCGCATTAGGTAGAACTGTGGTGAGGGTATCGTAACCGGGGCCCCATATGACCATCGTCGTCATTTATTGCTTTAATTGTTCATGTATTTTTATATCTCATTCTGCTTTCATTTCATAACTGCTTTCTAAATTTAGTTGCTATTATATTCTAATAACGTGATCGTTCACGTTACCTGTCAGTTTCTTGTCGATTTAGGCCTTTGGAGCGTTATCATATGTAAGTTAAAACTTTCTGGTTATGCATTTTCGTTCCGCCTTCATCTTGTGATTGTTTATTGATTATTTCACTTTATTTACAGTCAACCGTTTTACAATAAACGCGTATGACATGGAACATCTGTGTGCCTAAATCTGACAAAGTTGAATATGACGCATTTGCTGAAGAAGTCGCCAAATACTGAAGAATCTGAAGCAACAGTGGCTTCGTCGTCGACGAGTATGGAAGAAAGTTAATCCGTAACCGATAATATAATTGAGAGCTTGCCATCCTTAACCACACTCAGACAAAAGCGTGTCAACATAGAGACCGAGCTTAAATCATTGTTGACCAATAGCCGGAATTTGATAAACGAAAAGGCTCGAAGATCGCAACTGGCATGCCCTAAAGCAGAGTTATATTTTAAACTGGCCGCTTATAATCAAATTATATCGAACATATTACCTCAAATTCGCAATGCAGAGTCAAAAGCTGCTTTCGAAGAAGGCGTTCGGAGCGTGATATCTGAAGTTGAAGGTATGATCGATGAAATTGATAGTTACATCGACTGCGAACCTGAAACATCGTGCGTGGCACCTGACGAAAAGAACTCTAATGTTTCAAGCGGAAGTCTGAAAGATAACAATCAGTCAGCTCTGGCCCAACAGCCGAATGGTGAAATGGGGGCGGCGATTGACCAACTACGAGAGGATGATCGTCGAGAGACACCATCTCTCCCAAAGAGTAGCTTTATGAACACCAGGTTCAATGACTTTGACGAACGCGATATGTTAGAATCAACTCGGAGAAAAAGTGCCCGCTTTGAACCGGAGACTTTTACTACGACAGATACACGTCGTGAATATACGATTTCTTACACTTCAAGACATTATCAAAATCCTTCACCAGCAAACCAGATGCCATTGCCAGACCAGTCGGTAGACTCCTGGATCGATAATCTCCAACCAAATCAAGCAGGATCTAGAACGGTAAATGATAAAATTTCTCTAGCTGAGCAAACGTGTTTATCTTTGAGTTTAAATTCTAAAATGTGGGCTGAGCATCATTTGCCGCCGGTTCAAATAAGTCCGTTTGATGGTAGTGCTATAAATTGGCCTAATTTCATTGAATTGTTTTATGAAAATGTGCATTCACGGTTGGACGACGATGGTCAACGCATGGTGAGATTGTCCTCATATTTGTCGGGTTCGGCGAAGCGTCGCGTTGAGGGATTAGGTACCGCCGGCAGTCATTACATACTGGTTTTGAAAGAATTGAAACGCCGCTACGGACAGTCTGTATTTATTGCACGGGCCGTGCTTGACCGTGTTGTGACCGGTAAGCGTATTTCGCCTCTCTCGGCCGATAGATTACTTAATTTTTCACTCAGACCGTTGCGTGACTGGCTGGGAATCTAAAAAGAATGGTGTTTTTTGGCTGACACAGTAGTGGTCGGAGAATGTAAAGGAGAGTTCAAACAGGGATTCCTCAAGAACTGAATTCGAGTTGGAATAAATTTCGTTGTGGGTTTTATCACGAGAACTCTAATCCGGACATTTAATAGACTTTGAGGCAATGGTTGTGGCGAAAGAACTGAGGAAATCGCCAATCCTTATTCTCCTGAGTTACTTGCAATGTCAGCCAATAGAGTTGACAAATGACGGAGGCCCCAACAATCGCGGTCCTGGTCGCCAGCTTAAATTACGGTTCACCATTTTCAACGTCTAAACCAATTTGGAATCCGTTTATTGCCTCAATGCAGTGACTGCCCTACAAGTTGGTCAATTCATGCAATGCTGGCCATTCCTTTAAGGAAGTTGTGATGTGTTTTTACGGTGCAACCGATGACCTAAAACGCAATTTTGTTGTAGAGTACCAGACCTTGCTTTAAAATGTCTTTGAACCGGGCCATCGTGCATTTTATGTGTAGATGTGATGTCAAGTGTAGTATATGCAGTGGGAAACATCATAAATGTATTCATGGAATTCGCATGTTTGAAAGCGTCCCAAGACCAAACCAAAACTGACAGGGTGTAAACCAATTGCGAATGTCGGTAACCCACTAGGGTTCAATTTCAGTTGCTACCTGTATTGGTTAGAGGCAGGCTAATGGACGCTCCTAAAATATACCGTTGCTTTGAATCGATTCGGCAAGTCAGGCTTCTCTCATCATCCTTAAACTTAAAACTAAATTGGATTTGCGATGGATGTCGTAAAAAAGCTTATGTTTAAAACCACCCTGGCGGGAACTGCGGAATTTCATTACGATTCAGAAGCGGTTGGAATGTTTTGTACGATGACCAAAATTAAATCCCGATGGCCAAAGAACTAGCTCTAAAATCAGTTTTCGTATGTGAACAATAGATTCCCCACACTTGAAAGACGTTCAAACGGATTTTATGAAACTTTTCCATCATTTACGCGGAATACCACTCCCTTGATATTAAAGAAAACGAAGTTATGTTGCTCATAGGTGCGGACCATCCGTTTGCCCACTTTCAACTAGAAAGACGTGTAGGGGGATAACGAGCCTATTGCTATTAGAACGCCACTTGGGTGGACTTTGCTAGGTGCAAACAAACGCGCTGGTGAAGTCGACCTAATTCAGGCCAACTGTCATTTATTACACGACGATTACAATATCTTGCAAGAACAAGTTAAGCAGTTTTGGAGTACGGACGCGATAGGAATGGTTTACAACATGAAGCGAGCCGAATCAGTGGAAGATCGCGTGGCTGCGGATATGATTAGAGCTAAAACGTCCATTGTTGATGGGCATTATCAAGTTGGCTTTTTGTGGCGTCACGATGCTTCCATTATGCCGGAGAACAGTCTTATTGCCCGCACTAGATTTAAAAATCTGAAATATCGACTTTTGAAAAATGACTGCCTGAGAGACATGTACTGCACGTCTATGAGGAAAAATATCGAACGTGGCTGGGTGCGAAAATGACCAATAAAGAACGGGATACTTTCGGGTCCTCGAACTTGGTATCTGCCCCATCATGGAGTTCAGAATCGAATAAACCCGGCAAGATAAGAATAGTTTTGACGCCGCTGCTACATATGTGGAATTAGTTTAAATAATCAGATATATTCGGGGACCTGGTCTTATTAATAATTAATTGGTGTATTACTGCGATTCAGAGGAAAGACCCGTTGATTGAACGCTGATATTGAAGCCATGTATCATTGGTGCGTCTACCGCAGTCAGACACCGATTCAGTTAGAATTTTTTCTGGCAGAAGATCTAAGATCAACATCCCCACCTGATGTATATCGTTTTTAGTAAGGATTTTTGGTGCGTCGACTCGCCATATGTTGCAAATTACTGCCTTAAACAAACCGCGCTTGATAATACCAGCCAATTTTCAACGGAAGCAGTAGAAACTGTTCTCAGAGATTTTTACGTAGATGATCTGCTTTCATCAAAATGGAATGATGACTCCGCCTTTTCCGTCGCACAAGAAGTTTCTAATATGTTAGCAAGTAGGGGTTTTCGATTGACAAAATGGCTTTCAAATTCCAAAACATTATTGTCGAATTTAACACAGAGGATCGTCTTAATCTGATGTTGATCTAGATTTTGATTGTTTTGCCGGTTTCTAAGGCGTTGGGACTTCACTGGAACACTAATGACGATGATTTCTTCTTTATTTACAATTCGTTGGCAAACCTGTACAAAAGAGAGGCGCTAAGCGCGACGGCATCTGTTTTTGATCCTCTCGGAATTTTAGCCCCTATTATTTTAACTGCAAAACTACTTATACGGGAGTGCTGGAGAGATGACTTGAAATGGGACGAAAATTTTGATGACCGTAGGAAGAATACCTGGGGCGACTGGACCGAATCTTTAAAACAATTGACTAATTTTCGTGTGCCTAGACAATATTTAGGAGTCTCGAAAACCGACGCCACTTATGAGCTCCACTTGTTTTGCGACGCGTCTGAACAAGCTTATGGTACCGTGGCTTACTGCGTGCAGAAAGGCCAGTGTGTGAATTGTAGTTTTTTGATGGCCAAATCAAGAGTCTCCCCGATGAATCATATGTCCGTTCCCAGACTAGAGCTGCAAAGTGCCCTGTTATCCGCGCGTCTGCTGAAATTTCTGCGCAAGTCTTTAACCCTGCCCATCACATGCGAAATGTTGTGGTCAGATTCTACGTGTGTTCTGAGATATCTCCGAAACACTAAAACAAGATTCAAAACATTTGTTGCAAATAGACTGCGTGAAATTCTTGACTACACTGAACCTGCGCAGTGGCGTTATGTCAATACCCAAAATAATCCAGCGGATTGTTGTACGAGAGTCATGCCCATGAACAAATTCATCGAAAGCGATAACGTGTGGATAAGCGGACCAAAGTTTTTATTGTTGCCTGAATCATCGTGGCCCCAACAGCCGGTATTAGAAGCAATTAACAATCGTGATTGCGAAGTTCGCGGAAAGGTCTGTTTTACAGTTACGTGGCCGGAAATCTATAAATACGAATTTCTGAATGACAAAATCCGCATCGACAACTTAACTCTTTGAACCCTGAGAGCCGCTAAACCGGCTTTCCCGAGAAAGTCTTCTGACGCTGAAAGCCGGTTTAGCGGCTTTCGCATCCCGTAAAAGATATGCAACTTTGAAACCTCATATCTCGCGAACCATTTATTATATTTAGACAAGTTTTACATCGTGTGAAAGATAATCTACAGGACTAGGTATAATTTTAAAATTGAGATAAAATATTGTGATCATCTTATGAAAATTGGCAAAATTAAAAAGCATAAAAAACTTCTGAAAATTGCTCAAATCTAATTGACAAAACTTAAATTTGTTTTCGATTAAACCTAGTACATTATCGACAAAATTTGTAGAATTTGAAGATAGCTTTCCAGTGATACCATTAGATTGAACTTATGTTGCACCATTCAAATTTTAGAAGCATTTTTATTCGTGATTTTGTTTGTCGCAAGATCGAGGCGACGTCAAGGTGACGTAAATAACGACCTAACACATTTACGCCGTTACGCAGCGACGTTAAGCAATTACGTTGGCACGTAGCACGTTTCATACGAGAAACACTTTTCCTCGCATGCTCGTAACGTAATTTACTTAAGTTCGTACTCGTGAAGCGACTTACGACTTGTAAACGATACACGGGGAAATTTACGCATTACATCGGTTCGACTAAAACACTTAATACGCAGTGTTATTGCCGTTTTAATTGCATAAAGATATGAAAAATACGAATAGCCAAATTAAGGATTTTTAAAAACAGAATGATGGAACATATCGATGGATGCATTGTTTAGCGCCATTGCTGAGTTTTATTGTGCCATATTTTCTTCTTCCGATAGATGAATACTATCCAATATTTCATCTGGACAAAGCTTTCGTTTAAAATCCATTGTAAATATAGCGATATCAGGAATGTAGCGTATATGCAGTAATTTCGAAAATCTAATGAGGCTGCAAAATGTAAAACACTGACCAGGTGAGCTACTGGTGCCACCATGTCTTCCGTGTACCCGTTATCAGTTTTTTTTTATTCAATCTTCATGATATCCAACGGTGAATAATTAGCCTTGATGTTTCCGGCGGAACCTCATAAATTCATGAGGATCAAATATTTCGTTTTGGCCATTCATTTTCGTCCCATATCCAAATAGTAAACGTATATAAAATGGCCTTTATATTCTAGCAATTTTACTATGTTCGATCAAAATTCGTCTGAAAGGGTTTTATCTGCGGCCGATATGATACTAATGCAATGAAGACACAATCTGCACTCAAGCTGTGAACGACCAGATGTGCAATTGCGCAATATACCTCACGCAAAGAGTTACGCACGATACGTCGCATGAACGTTATCACGACAATGTCGTCGTCGCCCTTTGCGTCCTTACGCAAACTTGGCGTCAAATAGTTGATAAATTTTGTTCGCAAACCATTTGAATCGATAGTACAAATTCTGCAATAAAATGAGTTATGCGTATGTTAAGAAAGTCATAAGTATATTCTCCGAAAGGTAATTTTGTATACTTTTCAAAATTGTACTTATATTGATGATACATTTCTAAGAAATGTATTAAATATTACCAAAATTCAAAAAAATAGTAGATGGGGCTACAAATAGGCTTACACATCTCATCAAAACATCTCGTGAAAAATAATGCCAGTTAAAAATAAAAGACTAGATAAGCTTTTATATGATATATTACAGACCATCTGATATCTAATGGTTTAGAAGTTATTTTGATTTAAAATTAGGGATATTACAATTTTTTAACGCGTCAAATCGATGCGACGCCGTGGGAGGTCAGGGTGAGAGAGTAGCATCGTTCTGGGGATTCAGAGTTCAAAGAGTTAATCAGGGTGGAAATGTTTTCCACATGGTACTCGTTATGCAAGCGGACAGCTATGGTAATTGCAGTCGCGGATGTGTTTCGAAGAAAGACCAAAATCTTAGAGCTTCGTCCGAAACTTTTAGAACTGAGTGGCATGATGTGGATAATAGCGGCCCAGCGAGAGCATTTCGCAGAAGAAATAAATGCTTTGAAATCGGATAAATTACTCTCGTGCAGGTCACCGTTATTGTCGTTGACACCTTTTTTCGATGGAGTCTTCTTGCGTGCAAATGGTCGCTTACAAGAGTCACCTGAGCCGCTTGAAACGAGGCATCCAATAATATTGCCATACAGTAGCACTAAGTGTAAAGATAGTTGTTCTTGTCGTGTGTCTTGGCTTCTGATGTGTGCAGCTCATTGTCGATTAGCGCATTCTGGCCCAGATGCAATGTTAGCGTCGATCCGGCAAATATTCTGGCCATTGAAGGGTCGCAAACTTGCCAGTCGCGCAATAAAGAATTGTTGGCCGTGTCGGAAACGCTCAGCTCGCCCTCAACCGCCCCTTATGGCAAACTTGCCCGAGGTTCGTCTGACGGAGGCGAGGCCATTTTTGAACAGTGGGATAGATTACTTTGGTCCACTGTACGTGAAACGAGGACGGTCCACTGAAAAGAGATGGGGATGTATTTTTACGTGTTTATCGTGTAGAGCAGTGCATTTGGAATTGGCCTGGTCAATGGAAACTGATTCCTTCATATGCGCTCTTAGAAGGTTTACAGCAATCCGAGGCCCCGTGAAAGGAATATGGAGTGACAACGGGTCCAATTTCGTTGGCGCTTCAAAAGAATTACGGCAATTAATTTCTGATCTGGATCAAACTCGCGTTACCAACGAATGTTTGAAGAAAGGCATTGATTGGAATTTTTCGCCACCTTATGCCCCTCATTTCGGGGGCATCTGGGAGCGGCTCGTCAAGAGTGCAAAGCGTACTTTGAAGGCAGTCCTTGGTAACCTGTGTGTAACGGACGAAGTATTAACGACTGCGTTCGCTGAAATTTCCGATATTATGAACAGCCGTCCTTTAACTCATATTGGGGACAACGTACGTGATCCAGCACCCCTCACGCCCAATTGTCTTATACGTGGGCATACTGACGCAAATACACCACTGGATACGGATTGTACATCAACAGCGCATCGGAGAAGATGGAGACAAACCGAAGCAATCTCGAATCAGTTCTGGAAGCGATGGCGGCGAGAGTATCTACCAATGCTGATGACTCGAACAAAGTGGCTGAAAGATCATAGGAATTTATCGATAGATGATATCGTAATTGTTGTAGATGACGGCGCCCCAAGAGGAAGTTGGCTACTAGGAAGAGTTATCAAAGTTTTCCCTGGAAAAGATAACCGGGTGCGTGTCGCAACCGTTAAAACAACCAATGGGGAAATAACCAGACCTGTGACGAAACTATGCCTCCTGGAAAATGAATAACCCCTTGAAGGGTTATTGGGGGCGGCTGTGTCGGCGATAGAAGTTTCTTTTCAGTTGATCATTATTTTGAACGCTGTTCTTCCTTGTGTTCCGACCGGCTAATTTTTATCGATAATTGCTTTTCTGTTTTGACGCGAATTTCGCGGGCTTTACTGCACCTGACGTGTCACGCGTGGCTCTTGCATCTCGACTTTATGCGTCGTAGGACGTTCTTGTTTAATCTTGTTATGGTGTCAGTGGTGTGGTTTCGCATTAGGTAGAACTGTGGTGAGGGTATCGTAACCGGGGCCCCATATGACCATCGTCGTCATTTATTGCTTTAATTGTTCATGTATTTTTATATTTCATTCTGCTTTCATTTCATAACTGCTTTCTAAATTTAGTTGCTATTATATTCTAATAACGTGATCGTTCACGTTACCTGTCAGTTTCTTGTCGATTTAGGCCTTTGGAGCGTTATCATATGTAAGTTAAAACTTTCTGGTTATGCATTTTCGTTCCGCCTTCATCTTGTGATTGTTTATTGATTATTTCACTTTATTTACAGTCAACCGTTTTACAATAAACGCGTATGACATGGAACATCTGTGTGCCTAAATCTGACATACACCAATCAAACTTTTTTGAACATCACATCAACTTGCGCGCTCTATGAGTTCCTCATAGATAACACTCTAGTAACTACTTTTGCGGCGTCTGCAAAATTTCTGGACATCATTTTGACGACGCCTATTTCTTCCGCCGACGCAGAGCGAACATTCAGCACGCTGAAGCGTATTAAAACGTATCTCAGAAACACAATGAAGCAAGATAGATTAAAATCCTTGGCTGTTTTATCCATTCACAGAGACGTTATTTCTGAGATGCATGACTTTAATCAGCGCGTTATTGAGCATTTTGCTTTCAAGAAACCGCGGCGTGTTGCATATATGTTCAAGAAGTAGAAGTCTAGCAGCATATATATCTATGAGTGAGATACGCATGTCCTTATCTTTGCATTAGCTTTCCTTTCTTCATAGTAACGTTTTAAACCTTATTTTAGGTTTTGTCTGCTTTCCCGAAGTTTCTGTTAATATGTCATTGTATTTATCTGGGTAAATATTGCCTTTCCTTTTGAAAGAGGTTTCAAAATAAACTATGTCTATATTTATTAATCCCTTGACTTGGACCGGTTTTAAAGACACTTTCTTATCGTTAAAAATTGTCGCTTTTGCCGATTGGTTGTTACCGATGGAATGGTTTTTATACTCATAAAATGATGGGAGAACTTACAGCGCTCATCCTGTCCCCGTAGATGGGGGTGACTTGGTCCCGCAGTAGCTTGCCCCGGTTGTCAAAATGACCGCGCGCCGCCACTGTAAATAAGTATACAATATTCATAAAACTGCAACAAATGCAAAGTCATAGTTCCTCCCACAAAACAACAAAATCCTTCCCCGTCTGGAGATCGTTGGCCTATAATACATAATATTTAAAATAAACCAAAAATATGTCGAAACCGCATTCCCTTGTTACAAATGGATATAGGGTCATAAACAATATTTAAATGATCTCCACCGAGAGCTATCGGGCTTTGGACAACAGGTTAGGAATATATACGAGTAATTGCCATTTGAGTGGTTACTCCACAGTCTGTGCTTGCCGGACGGGCCTGTTATGACATGATCTTCGTCCCGCGTGTTTTCCAGTGACTTTATTTGCCATAAGGAAAAGCCCATCTGTATTCCCAACCCAAGTCGCCTGACTTGATAGAGATATATTAACATCTTAAGATAAAACAGAGAATAGCTATTGATCAACATTCTGAGACTGATCTAGGTTGGTAAAGTATGTTTACCTCGTATTTAATATGGGACCAGGATCGCCTACTTTGGGGTAAACATGTTTCGTTTATAATTCAACTCTACACACCGTCTCTAGCTTAGTCGCGCATTGTCCTTCTGTAGACTAAAAGAGAAAACAAGTTTCTGGAAAATAACGAACCTTTGTTACATTATAGTTTAGGAAGAATCGGGTATTGTGATTCAACAAAAGTCTGGATGATCTGAATAAAAGTGAAATTTGATCTTATTGTTTCAAATTTTACGGGATTCGTCCCGTTCGACCCCACAGACGGTTGGTATGTTAACCTGTTACGGCTACTCAAGGATAGTTGTGGCGAAGTTGCGAATTCAAAATCGTCAGATCGGAGTATAGAGTTAATAAGTAAACTAAGTTGCCGATTTCAAAACAGCAGAAAGGCTTTTAGTACGAAATACCATCGTTGACACCAGTCGCTGCTCGCGCATCGGAGTATATTTTTTATCAGAGAACAAGTGTTTTTGTTGAGATAAGTATTTTTCTATTTATAGAAATTTTATATCCATTATCAACCGAACACTGAGCACTGATAGGAGATGGAGCATGGTAATTTATTGGAATAGGAAGCAATTTCTCCGAGGCAGAAAAAATATTTGTCGCCGCAATTGCGTGGCAGAAAAAATATTTGTCGCCGCAATTGCGTGGCAGAATTGAAAAATGTATGAGTATATTCTGGGATATATATAAAATGAGACTTAGTGAATGTTCGCGAATCTAACGTAAAGGAATGCCTTAGTTAAAATGTTCAATAATTTTTTCGATCTATAATATCAGTTTATTCAACAAAATATTAAAAATATCAGAACAAAAGCTGCCAGGATTTCAGATGAGACATGTATCCTAAGTAGTTCAAGTAGGGTCGTGACTTGGGGTAGCCGCTCTAGGCAACATTTTAAATTTTACTTTAGTTAAGTAAATTTTTACTTTTTATATTTTTTCAGAAAATCAGTTTTTGCACTACAGAAATAATTTCTAAAAAATATTTGCAAGTCCTAAATGCAACAAAAAAATTGTTGTTTTCTCTTTCAATTTGGTTATAAATAATAAAACGTTTGGTCAACGAAAGAAAAACATAATGGCGGAAGGCGGTAAACCACAACAACAAGTTATTCATCTCTACTTTGCAGGGGCGCCTATCAACGTGCAAGGGGATAATGTCGGGTAAGTTTTATTTTACTTTATTCTTTTGTTTCACTTAGCCCGTTCACTCGATTTCAAAATTTGTCATATTTCCACTTTATAGATCAAAGACTGAAGTTGGTGCCGGGAAAATTGGTCGAATTATGGTTCAGCAACCAGGTAAATATTTAGGATTTATTATGCATCGATGATTAAGAGAGGAATCAAATGAAGTTTTATCCCAAGTTAAATATACCATATATATCTTTCCACCTGGTTGAGGTTCGAGCATATGGTTTTAGGTGCTCCGGAAGTATTCGTTACAAAATGACACACAACCTGAACAACCCTTACCCGGTGCACATACTATGTTCAGGTTGTGCGTCATCTTGGTACGAATACTTTGGGAGCACCTGGTTTTAACACGATACGGGATCGTGCAATTCCAACCTAGTCGAGGCTGACGCTTTTATCGCCGAGCCAACGTGCAACTAGGGTTTTCTGTAATCTGATTTCCACCATTTTGCAAATTGAAATGAATTAAATTTTTGTCACCACATGAACACTATAAAATCCGACCGTTACGATATTGTAAATATTATGAAATGCGACATCTGCTAGATTAAAATGACCTGGATGGTATCCGGCACATCGAGTTTAGAAAATACAGACATGCTAACTTTGGGGTATTTTCAATAAAAATCCACTGCCAGTCACAAAATCTAATATAAAAGGTTGTTATGCCTGGTAAATTTATCACCAAATATTTATTTCTTCACAGATGCAACAGCATACAGCCCTGCTCAACCCGCAGAAATATCAAAAGGCGTCGAATCCATGAATATTCAGTCTGATTCATTCGCAACCCCAATGCAAACAGGTTTGTTTTAATTGCAATTCGAAAACGTCTAAAAGTAATTCAAGAGTATTCCAAACGATACAGAAATATATTTGTGTCAGTTATCTTCACTCTTGCTACGACATCATTGCAATATGCGAAGAAAAATTATTGCCTCTCAACAGTCTCATGTATTAGTGGCTGCTTGTACATGGCATTGTTCGTAGTGGTGTGGTAACTCTTGAAAATGATATTCGATAGTTAGTATATGGTTTATCTCGATGAAAAGCTACAATTCACATCTGTTTGTTCGACGGAAAAACCAAAATCTTCACAAACAAATTAAAAAGGTTGGCAAGCATACGAGAATTCCCACTTGTAATATCGGACTGTCTGTTATAGTCCATCAATGTTCATTTCACTGAGTGTGTGAATATTTCCACAGACGATCTCAGAGTGCAGGATCTTCAAACGAAGACAGATAGAAAACCAAATCAACTTAACAAAACGCCACCTCGAACTCAGGAGCTCAATCAACAACCAAAACAAACAGCAGCCGGTCCAAGATATACGACCGCACAGAGTGGAATTAATGCTCCAAAGATTTCCATGCTTCGAAGTAAGTAAAACTTTTTTTTCTGCAACATGGTTTTTGGAACAACCGGATTTCTCGATTCCTCTACGTTGAATATCTTTACTTCCAACTTCACATTCTTTGAATTCGACAACCAGGTTGTGCATATATATTACGCAATTCTCTATAACGATTTTTTTTTCTTCTAATTTTGTAATTGCATTTTTGAGTTTACCAATTGTTCGAGAAATGTTTTGATACACCTTGTCCTTGAAATACACGGCCACAGAGAAACATTTGAGGTGTTAAGTGGAATGAGAGAGGTGCCCACATGACATCACAATTCTTGCTGATTTGAATCGCTTTAATTTAAATCGCTCTCTCAGTCAGTCAGGGGCGTGATTTGATACGTGTTGGGGTCGATCCGTTAGGCTAGAATCACCAATCGACTTGATCTATCTACGTCGTCTAAGACTCTAAGTGATGTCCAACGCTTTCTCAGCACCGCCACATAATGTTTCATATTCACCGCGTAATTTTCGTCTATAAACTAATACGGAACAGTTATGATATGTATGTTGGGCAATGATTATTAATGCTGTTTTTGTGGGGTCACCCTGTATGTTAGGTCAGTGGTTCCCAAACTGTGGGTCGCAACGCATAGCGACATCGCTGGAAGATTTTCTGGGGTCGCCTAACTTCCTATGAGCGTGCAATAATTCACATACAATTAACTAGGATGTGAAATCAGGGAAGCGATATTTTCACTGGTCAAGGTAGTAATGAATGCTGTTTGATGATATATCCCCGTTTTCAGATTTTCTATACGCGTTAAATTCGAATAGGTAGTTGACTTTGGTCCGGATCTGGCAACATTCTTTACACTGCACCTGCAGGCTAAATCATCTTTCGCCTTCGCGATATACTGTAATAAGTTTTAGAGAGAAATAATGTGACAAAAGATAGATCCAGGTCCTAGGCCAGGGCTACTCAACTGGCGGACCGCGATCCGAATCTGGACCTTTTGGGTATTTGATTCGGATTGCGCCAATTTTTTAATTTGGATCATTAGCCCCACTTTTGAAGTTTTCTTTTATGAAATCTCTTTTATAGATTTGATTAAATATATTAATTGAAAAAATTAAAATTAAAGCTCGTGGTAGCTCCCCTGTCAGACGCCCAGCACCTACCTACCTGCCATCCTATTGGCTTGGTTGTTTCCCGTGGTTACGTACAATGTGTCTCACTCAGTTTCAGTTGGTAGCGAAATTCGGCGAGAAGACGATACGCGCGCGTAACAGTTAAAACAAAATAAATGAAAAAATAAACTAAAAATGCAAAATAAAAAAACGGAAACGCAACACGAAAATGAAAGAGAGTAAATTCTGATTTTGAATTTCACGTGTGTGTGCTGATCCTCGTATAAAACGGTCGATATCAGCCGTCAACTTTTACCAGCTCCTCTCACCTCTTTGTCCACCATCCTCCCACCCTCCACAGTATTCGCTTAACTTAGTCGGCCAACGCCAAAGATGAACAAACATACCGTTCCTAGTTTTTATTGGTTATTTCCCTGTTCTTTCTTTTTTCCATGTATATCCTTTCTATTTATTATGCGTAATCTAATTCTAACATGTATTTGTTACCGGTTTTAACCATCATTATAATTTATACAATTGTTATGTCCTAGTTTTGTAGGGGCTTAGAACGGATTTGGGCATTTATGAGGTGTCTTTTTTATGAAATTTTCTACGAAGGTGCTCCAGGAACGAATTATTTTCGTAGGAAAAGTTTATAATGTATTTTTTTTTGTGGTGTCGCGAATATCTGTAAATGTTGATTTCACGAAATTTTAAGTCGCGGGAAAAAATTTTGGGAACCACTGTGTTAGATGATACGGAATATTTTTAGTTCGCGGTGAATCAATGGGCATGGGGTTTGAACTCGCAATTTACATCTGTTGGGTTGGGTTTTATGCTTTTAACCAGAAGGTTCAAGTAAATTAATAAGGCTCAAAACGAGAATATCGGGCGGAGACCGAAGACTTATCGATGAAAGTTGGGGGATCCCCATTTATTCACTCTGACTCTATAGTGACACCGCGTGTCCCATCACCAATTAATTAATAACGCTAATTATACGACATAATTCATCCAAAATCAATAGGCTTTTGGTACGAGCTATGGTGAATGTACATGCAAAATTTGGGGCAGATTGTGACTTTCGTGAGATATCGCGTGCATCTAACAGACAGACAGACAAACAGACAAATACCTATCAACATACTTACCCATCTTAAGATCGATAAGTAACAATCAGCCACTTTTACACAGGGAGATACTATTTTATTCCGTTCTGCTATACATTGTGAGATCCCTCATTGAGACTTTCAACGCACTGACTATTTTTTGTATAGGTTTTATTCATGATATATTTTATTTTCAGAAAAATCTTCCAAGTTATTCGACGAGTCCAAATATGAAGAAGCAGTCTCGATCTTAGAAGAACTGGCAACCCTGCAAAACCATCAGGATTTGGATACAATACTTATGATGGTCGAGTGTTTTATACAACTTGGCAGAGGAAACAAAGCGGAAAAGGCTATTGGCAACTTACGAAATATCCTGATGACGTCATCTGTGACAATTGCTGATGACGTCAAATACCTTGCGATTGACTTAATTTCGAATTCCGCATACATTCGCGCTATAATATTGCTTCGAATAGCAAGTGATATCTACAGAGCTCGCACAAGATCACCCGATGATGTAATGAATGGGATTGGATTTTGTATCAGTAAGACATATGATGCCACTAAGCCATTGATAAAAGCCGGTGGTCGATCTAAAATTATAGGAGTGGATTACGGCATAGAATACATGACAGAAATGCTGGATGATGTTCGCGCAATAGAAAACGCTGATCCAGTGAATAAAGCAACACAAGAGGCTTGGTGCTGTCAATACATTGGATATAACTATTTACTGGCAGGTGAAAATGAGAAAGGTATAAAAATATTCATGAATGGACTGGAGATTTTGGAGAAAAAGTTCGGATCAAACGCTTCAAAATATAAAATCTACGGTGTATTGCTGCATAATATCGGTGTAGGGTATTATAATATGCGTAAATATGAAGAAGCAGAATCCTATGATATTAAAGCCATTGATGCGTATGGAAAGGCTTCAGATTATGGAAATGAAGCTGAGAGAGAGGAAGATATTGAAAATTCAAAAACTGAGCTCAAGAATGCTCGAGCAAAATTAACCTGATATCTACATCTCATATTCACGGCGAATCGTAATTTACTGAAATTATCTCAAACAATGAATAAAATATTTAAAGTTTTAATTTACATTTGTTATGTAATTTAATACTGTGAAAAATGGTCAGTAGCAGTGGCGTAACAAGGGGGTGGTTTTGTGGGTCGACACCCCCCCCCCCCCCTTTAAATGTAAAAAAAATAAAATCTTTTTTTGTATCATAAATATCCATTTTCCGTAGCTTAAAATGCTTTTTAGACCCGCTAGCTGTTTCGATCTAACCTGACAAATAAAATTTTCAGAACCTCTCCCCCTCCCCCTCCCCTTTTGAAAATTTCTGGCTACGCCCCTGGGTCCAGTATACCAGTTATATCACACTCAATTTACTAAAATTATCTTAGAAAATGAATATTTTTACAATATTTAAACTTCTCATTTACATTCAACCAATGCTGTGTTATTCAATACTGTTATAAAAATCAGCAGTTTTACTTGCGTAGACTGGTCATATCCATTCTCTATAATTTTAACTTTATTATTTCAGTCGCATGTTTTATGAACAACTGATCAAGCATGGTTCATAGATAAATCAATATTTCAAAGTATAATTATCTATGGATCATACTCGGCCAAGCTTTGCATTCAGCTTATATAACAAGTTATCGCAATTACTTGTAGATTTTGGTTAGTTTGTTGGATTTTTTCAAAATTTAAGTTTCACTTTTTTTACGAAGTCGCGCAGAAACTTTTATTTGGGCAGTCTGTGTAGAATGTCATAAACTATCAAAAATATTGTAAAATTGTCTTGCATTGCAGCGTTATACTTCTCACAATAACTAACAGATGGACTGACTTACTTTTCTGCTATGCATTTGACAAGAATTAACTGAGCAAAGTTACCATACATGCTGAGTCATTGTAGAATACTATTAATAAGTAGGAAATGCTTTCGTATGGTTACTTTCCAATTTATTGTAATGTTCTTTTATGGATAATTTGTCAGAGGCTGTTGAAAATATAGTAAAATTATCTTGCATTGGCACGAGTTATGTCTTGAAATAACTTGTGGATTGCCACTAACTCGAGAGTGGCGAGATACTGGCCAAGGTTTATTTACGTTTATGAATCAGTATATTTCTCGTGTACTCAGTGAAACGAACTTTATTTTGTGAAAATTGTGTTGTATATATTCTAATTGGAGTAATTGAATTTCTTTTGTATATTTTATCCTCGTTTTATTATTTCATGATCAATTTTCATTCGCTGAATTGGAGTTTAACTCAAATTTCAATTGTTTTGACATTTTTTTATCGAATGAAGGAGAAATATCATTATATGTTCATATTTATATAACTCAAATAGAATTTCATTCTATTGAGTTGAAGCTCAATTATTAGGTTGTTTTGTTGATTCATTTTAAAAAATTTTGCTCAACTCATATTTTTGTCATTTTCAACATAATACCCATTACATAAAATCCATAGAAGTGTGTAGAATGTAGAGAAAACTTATTTCAATTCCACCGAATGTATTCATTTGGGTTTAGATGATCTCTTATCTTTTTCACAATTATTTTGTTGTTTTATTCACAGTATGATTCAAACTATTGAGTGATCTGTATATCTAACGGTTCGCAAATTTTATTTAAAATGCTTGAATTCAACCAGAATTTTTTTGTGGCGTTCTTATACCTTTACTTCTAACAAAATGCCAGTGATAAATGGATGAGCTGAATTTTTTTTAAAAAGGGGAATTTTCCCAATTTAACATTTACAATCAGTGAACGCTGATTTCACTCATCTGTGCTCAATGTTCTTGTGTGATTCTGCAAATCAGGTGATGTTTGCAGGATGTTTTATTGTCAAATATCAACGCTGTACTATGTATAATATGCATGGAAAATCTAATAATCGTCAAAACAGCGGGTTTGCTATAATTCAGCGAAGCGTCGCGGGCCGGATTATATTACTCCGTGGGCCGTAGGTTGCCGACCCCTGGCTTGAGCATTTAGCTTCCAATATTTCAGTTTTGATTTTTGAAGCGAATTTTTTTTAAAAACTGTAAATTATTCCTCATTACTTTGAATCCCAATAATTTATATATTGTTTCTTATTCACCATTACATGTAAATCTAGTGATTTTACTGATTTTTTATCAGTAAGATTCAACTAAAGCAGGGGTGTGCAACAGGCGGCCCGCCGGCCTTACGTGCTTACTGTTGAAATTTCAAACTCAGTAAATTTTCAACAGGATATTCTCAAACATCGAATTTCGGCAAAATATTTATGACTAAGAAGAGATCCACTATTTAGCAAACTATAATTAATCCAAGAAGTGTTTGTTAGAGATGGCTATTGCATGATCCGTGTTTATGTCACCGAGCCCAAGTTTGTCAGCGTTTATACTTTCACCGCAGCACAAACCTCTTTATATAAGAGTTTGGTTTATATAAGAGTTTATATAAGCCGTTTGGTTAGTAGTTTTCTCTTTTTTGGATTGCTAGTTTTCTATCTAGTTTCCAATATTTTAGTATTGATTTTTGGATTGATTGATTGCTAGTTTTTTATTGAGTTTAAAATATTTCAGTTTTGATTAAATTTTCCGTAAAAAATGTAAATTACTCCCGACTAGTTTGAATCTCAATATTTTATATATTGAAATTGATTGATCATTTTAGTCACTATTACATGTAAATGTCAGTAATTTTATTGTATTTTAACAGTGTGATCCAACTAAAGCAGGGGTGTGCAACAGGCGGCTCGTGGGTCAAAAGCCGGCCTTTCAAGCCATTTAGTGTGGCCCTTGTAAGCACTCAGATTTTCCCACCAAATATCAAATGATACCCAAACAATTCATGTTGAAGAGAGAGTTCACACGAGTAAAAAAATTACATAATGTTTTATTGTTCATGTCGCTGCGTTAAATCTTTCGCCGTTTCGCCCGGTGCATTTATTACTGTCATTTTAACTTCTTCATCCGTTTTATCGTTTAATTCGTTACGAAATTTTCAATTCGTTGTGTATATGGTCAAACTAATTTTGTGTGGCCCAGCTAGATGTCTGAAGGTTGCTATATGACCCACCAACAAAAAACGTTGCACACCCCTGAACTGAAGCGTGATGTTTTATATATATCTATCGATTTAGAACTTTCTTCTGCAATTATCTGGAACGAATAAATTATAATCAAGTATGGCATTATATAATATACAGGGATTAGCTGTACTAAGTGAACAGTGAGTCTCATTGACACATATCGCTTACGTATCAGATACGTATTATCTATAGATTCTATAGCACAAGCCCGTTTAGTAGGAGAGTATAAGTTCCTAAATACAAAATGGCGTTGATTGTATTTCGAATCCTCGCGCAGAGAAGCAAGATTGAACAATATGAATTGTAGATACATAAGCGAATCAATATATTGCTTAATACATATATCTAGTGGTCGGGAAAATAATTGCTTCGACGCGGAAGACTTGCCGCTGGCTGAAGATTAACATTACACAAAGGTAATAGTAGACGAACCTAGACTGAAGGAGCCTTGTCAAATAACGCTGTGTCGCAATGGTGTTATCCTACATACTGGATATTAAATTTACAAACGTCGGTGAAAATAGAAAACCAGTTGTTGTTAAAATATCAAAAAAATGGGTACTCCCCAGTTCTATTACGAGCTCGGGGACTGTCTGTGTTAGCCAAGTGAATTTACCCCTTTCCATAGGTGTCAGCCCTTCACACAACTTGATGTTAAATAGGCGAACAATATTAGTTACCTCCATATTGGTACACATACTTTCGCTGCGTCAAAAAGATGTTAGCGTTTCTATATTTAACTCATGCTATGGAGTTGTTTATTTATGATGCGCATAATGGGTTTATCGTGGTAGCATCGTGAATAAGACGATCAAATAATTTGAAACTACAACGACTTGAGCTTAACCAGAAAGATCTGTGTCGGGCATCTGAGATCGATCCATGGATTGTGATTGCGAAGGCAATAGTTATAAGCTCTATATCGCCACCTCCCGGCATAAAGACAAGATATCTGAGATGTTTCGAACCTCATTTCTTATTAACAATTGATCGTTCTATGAAATTAGCAAAGGTAAATTTGGGTCGCGACTAGGGCTGGGCATTTCGAATCGAATATTCGAATCGAATAGTAAATTATTCGAATCGGTTCAAAGCAAAATTTCGAATCGCCGCCATCTTGTTTTGTTTCTTGCCGCCAATGGTCGAGGTGAATTCCCAAATGTTTCATATAGAAGCCATATTTTTTCAACGCAATTGACAAATGACTATTTTCTGTAGTGAGTTATTGATAAAACGTGTTTGTTATTCTGTGCGAACGCTCAGTAATCTGTCTGAGTGATTTATTCTATGTCTTCAGTAATTTATTTGTTGATAGGACTAATTACAATAAAAAGTCGATTACAATTATATATTTTCCAAGTATTCGAGATTCGATTCGAAAAAAATATTCGATTCGATTCTGAAATCACCAGGTATTCGGAAATGCCCAGCCCTAGTCGCGACCCCGTATTTGCGGACCACTGGTCTACTGTTACTTGGAATTTATGGCTGCCAGGTAATAACCGCGACGAAAATATTCCACTTCACGAAAACATGATTATTTTTTTTAATTCAAAAACAAATTTTCCGGCAGTACACTTCTCAAATTACGATAGTCAAAAAATAAGACAATCAGCATACAGAACATAACACAATTTACAATTATTGGTGAGTTAGATTGAAACGAAATTTGCCGTCATCATCTACTAAGCTGGCAACACAGATTTGTGGCAGATCAGCCGTATTATTTCAATTGTGAAATCACTGTACAACTGCTATTGCGTAGTATTTACGTGACGGATACTAGTAGTAGTATTTTATTTCGTCAACAATGTTAAATAGTTGTGGGCCACCAAATCTGAAACTAAGCCGTCTTTTGATAATGACGTATCTCGGTCATGCTATCAACAATGGCCGTATGTATATACACTTTGCCTTGAGAAGTTAAACTTTTGTTTGCAAGTGCGTTCTGGCAAAGACCCATTCACACAGATTACGAAATTTTCGAAACTACATTCTCGTTAAACTACCCTTTGTGCAGTATTCGTAGTTGCATATGGACTAAATGCAACGGTCAAGCTTGTGAAACTTGAGTGCGCACTATCCATTATTAGACTGATAATAATATTGCATTTGCCTTGGAGTTGTAGTAAATGTGGTTGTAACGTGATAATTGTTATGTTATAATGTATTTGTAACTAAAATTTATAAGAGCCGAAAATTTTTTCATTTGCTTAAAGCGCGATCAAAAGTTTGAGAACCACTGCATCAGGCGCAATGGATTGAAAAAATTTCCAATACTCTGGCAAACGCTTTTCCGCCCCGAGAACGTAGTTTAACGGCCTCTGAACGCCAAAATCACTCTAGCGTGACTTGATCGATGGCTTGAATGACAGGTAGCTCCGGGCCACTAAAAGCCTGTTTTGGCCCACTTACCTTTGCCGATCGTTATGAAAATTTTGTGTCAGTTTGGTATCGCTTCCAGGGTTCACACCAAATTTCGTCCGGATCGGCCCTTCAGTTCCCTGGGAAGTGGTCAATCTCACAGGGTTGTGGCTTAGTCTTTAACTATTTCACTTGCGACTTACGCACAAAGATTTTTAATCGATAGACTCTATACCAGTGGTTAGTCAACGCTACGCGAATTAAACACGGGGAATCCCTTCGACTAACCAATAGACTTCCGCATTTAATTTCAAGTCAATGATTAGTTTTCAATGAAAACTTTTCTTTGAAAGTAATTAATTTTTAAAACATTAACAAGAGCCGCAGGAAAGGTTGTTGAGAGCCGCATGCGGCTCTCAAACCCTAGTTTGAGAATCACTGCTCTATACTGTGCTAAAGTGTCGATTTATCACGGTATTATAACAGCAGATATCACAGTCTACAATTATATTGAAAGTAAGCAAAGCAGTACGGTACGGTTATACAGCGAAATTTTGCATGAAATATCAGATTTTATGAAATTCGTACAAATATTTGAAATAAATAAAAGTAATAGCCTTCTGGCAAAAAAAATCAATCTTTAACCCCTGAAAACTTCAAAGCAATTAGTCTAGTATTCGAAGAGAAAAGCGATTTCATCATGACGAAGGAGAAGAATACAAGAGCCACAACATAACATTGAAACGATCGTTATATCCACACACGTGTCCAATAACGTAAATAAAATTTGAACGAATATCCGAGGGAATAATTATGTGCGAGAGGATTGCTGAACTCCTAGCTGGGTGGCTCAGTTAATTTCTGGTCGGTTACGGCTTCTTCCACCATCAAGTCCATGCTCCCGAAAAACAAACAAGAGAGCAATGCTCAAATATATGGACACGCAGAACAATTCCCTAAAAATCATATGCGGTGACTTACCAGTACCTGTATGAACAAAGCACCACATTACAGCAATCAAACAGACAAAAACACGGTGGCCGAAAATTGGTTGACAAAGATATTAACGACGTATTGGAAATGCGCTCCCCCCTATTCCCCCTCCTTAAAATGTAAAAACGCTCAACCTTCAAAGGTGGTTAAAAGAAACACAACTCTACCCACCTGCCAAGTTTCATCTCCTATATTTGTATGGATTTTCAAGCTTTCGACAGCTACGAGTTAGTTCAGTGTCACCGCGCTGTGTTACGGTACCAGAACTTCTCTATCTGGGCTTCTAATTGCATTTCTGACCGTCATATATTTTAAGAACACGGTTATTTCGAACAAAACTCGTCAAATTATAGACAAAGCACCACATCACAGCAATCAAACAGACAAAAACACGGTGGTCGCAAATTGGTTGACAAAGATATTATCGACGTATTAGAAATGCGCACATCCTATTCCACCTCCTACCTGTAATGCCAGACGCTTCTTCTTTGCAAAACCAACTTATTCGATTTATCACGGTATTATAACAGCAGATACCACAGCCTACAAATATATTCACACCAAGCAAAGCATTTCGACCACAGTCTACAAATATATTCACACCAAGCGAAGCAGTACAGGCACCGGTACGGTTTACCGTACCTTTAGACCAGTCTACAAATATATTCACACCAAGCGAAGCAGTACAGGCACCTGTACGGTTTACCGTACCTTTAGATCAGTCTACAAATATATTCACACCAAGCGAAGCAGTGAAGTACGGTTTACCGTACCTCTAGACCGGGGACCTCAAACTTTTGGTGTTGCGGAGCCCTTGAAAAGGTTGACTATTATTCACAGAGCCCTAAAATAAATGTTAAAATTGTAGCTTTCAGATTAATATTCCTGAGCAAGTTAAAAGTACTTTACTTAATTTGAATGCTGAACCTTTTTTTTAATAGGGTCAATACAAGTCATACATAAATCTAAAATTCAAACATAAATTATATATACTAAAGCTGTAAATTTGACACTTGACAAACATATTAATAAATTAGGGGTCGAATCTTTTCCCTTTTGACATTTTTGGAAGACTTAAAAGGCCGCTAATAACGTGCGCGATTTCATTTTTGTTACAATCGCCGTTTTTTTCGTCAGCATGGCGTGTTTTTGAACCTTTTAACATCTTCACGCCGGTGTTTATTCTCCCTAAATTAAAAATTTCCCTCGGCAGTGATTCCTAAAGTGGGCGATATCGCAATCAACAATGTGTTTTTTAAAAGTACCTAATTTTTGATTACTGTAAATAAACTGAAGATCCTAGGAAGACAAAGTGATGATTGATTTATTTGATTAATATTTAAATTCCCGAAAAAACAACTAAAACTAACAAATATAATTCAAAAATGAGGTGATGTTCACGACCGCGCCTGAAAATCTGTCTGAGTGAGAAATGTGTCTGAGCGGATGCGAAAGGGGTCATTGTCACGTTTATTTTTGCATCTTGCTGATTAGCCAATGTCACGAAGTAAACAAGGAAGTCTATGCCCGAGGAAACAGCCAAATATTCGAATATATTGCAATGCAATGAGGAAATTAAGTTCATATTCTATTCGAGAGATTCGTTCACTGCTTAATTATTGTAAGAATGTATCTTCTTAAAAAAAATCTTTATCGAAATTTCACAAACCATGCGAAAATATTCACTTCGATGTTTGAAAGTACATATTTGTGCGAACAATTATTTTCGAAAATGAACATTACAAAGAACTAGGATTAGTGATGCCCATTTAGAAAATGTTCCAATCTTGTCGTCGTAAAGCTATCAAGCGTAATACAGCAACAAGACAGTGTCACAATAAATGTCATTGTAATAATTTTACAATAGGACGACTGAGTTGAGTTCACGAATTGTTGCAGTTTTTGCGCGCTGTTCCGTTTTTACCTTTTCAAAAAATTTATGCGACCCGCAAAAGACTAGCAACCCTAAATTTTGTCCCACGAGTGTAACCTCGAAAAACATGCGATTTTTGACATTTCTTAATCCGTCGTCACGTCAACGTTCGATGGCACGTGATCAAAAAGAGAAAAGCCTGTATATGCGTCCGCAGAACGTTCAGTGACGTCATAGCAAACAAAAACAAATCTCACAGAGCTAACAGAAATATTTGAAATAAATAAAAGTAATAGCCTCCTGGAGAAAAATGTCATCTTTAACCACTAAAAATTTCAAAGCAATTGGTCCAGTGATCAAAGAGAAAAGTGTGAAAAACAACAAAAACGATCGTTATGTCCACTAAACGTGTCCAATAACTAACTCATCCCATACCCGACATGAAATGGTAACTGAGCCAAAGTCGTGGTTTGTCATATACGCTATCCCATCTTTATTACGTCATACTGGATTTATTTCAAACGCATGAACATCATATTCACAGTTCTCATTTCTTTATAAATTACCAGAATCGTTATCTCCTTCAGTCCAGAGGAAAATATAAAGTGTACAATCGGGAATGTATAAAAATATTGCAGTGTGGCGACAGAATTAATTTTGTCTCGGTTGAGCGAAGATTGCCCAACATCCGTTTTCTCGTATTGTTTGCTCATTGTAAAGAACTAACACGAAAGCAATTAACAAGTTTACATAGCGGGCGTTTAAAATACATAACTTTTAAATATACCAACGTGTGCAAAGCGTTAAAAAGCAGTGGGACTCGTTCGTTGGTAAGGCCTCGCCCAGTTTTACTGAAGACGAGCAGTTGTATTCACACTCGGATTTACAAAGCTGAAACATCCAGGGAGTCCTTATAAGCGGAACACATGGCTGAAGGTGGCCAGCAAAACCAACAGCATCAGCAAAATGTATATCATATTAATATTGCTCTGAACGCTCTGCAGAATCAAAGGGACATAGAACAGTAAGTTGGCTATATGAATCCTTAGCTAAGTTTGGGAAGTGATAAATGTATTCAAGAATTACGAATAACTTTATGGTAGACTAAGATTTACATATTTATTCCTGGGAAATGGAAAAACGATTAATACGTCACTAATATTTCATTGAGCAATCCACAATCTCAGAGAGAATTTGTACAGTACGTTGACAACTTAATTTATAACCTAAGTTTTCAAATGTATCACCAAGGCATCCGGATTAACGGATTCCTAGTGGAATACTGTACAGACAACGTCGCAATAGGAGTATTTTTGGAGTAGATAGTGACGTAGGTTGATGTCTCTCTCGCCTCAGCTTTAAATTTAAAACGCATTTGAGATTTCGAATACACAGTTTGAATGAATTTCAGCTAGCAATGCGTTGTCGAAATATAATATTCAAATCCTGATGACTGTAAAAACTCTTACGAATATTTCTTCGGATAGTATATGTGGGGATTGGTGATATCTGATTGAGTAAGATATATAAATGTAGATACACTGAGGATGGACAAATGGCATCTTATCTAGTTTCGCCTAAAATACGACGGGTCTTTTTTCAATTTTCATTTGAAAAATACCACTAGGGCTTAATTTTCAAATATACAAAACAAGAAACCAATATCCATTTACTTATAAATACCACGTTTTCCTCTCTCATACGTTTTAGATTTATCATTTAAAACGTGTAGGAGAAATTTTTTGCTATCGACTAAGTAAAAAAAAAATTCGCGTTATTGACTAGGTCTTATTCTAAGTGGAGGGCTTATTTTAAAACCTTTTAAAAGTTCAGGCTTGGTGTTATTTTCGGGGGAAACATGGTAGTTTGCCAAAATGTCCAAATGCCAGAGTCTCATACTTGAAGTCGAACTGGACAGTTACGATAAGTGAAATGCTTTAAATATGCCTTCACATTTTATCCAGAACAAGGACAACTGAGATTGCTGCAGGGGAGATTGGACAGATAAATATTCCACATGCAGCTGAACAACAGAATGTCGGACAACAACAGGCAGCTGACAACGTTCAACCAGATAATATCGCTGAAGGTGTCGATGCTTTGAATTTGTCACCAAAAAATACCAAGGCTTCTCAAAGTGGAGCAATTGAAAAGAAAGGTCAGTTATGTTGTGTGTTGCATGATGGCGTTTCTGTCACTTTTTTTCAAAAACAAACGTGGACAAAAATACAATATTGCTTGATTTACCTTCCAGTTGATATTTCATATCTATGTATTCGAATGTTAACGCGGGGTATAAAACTGCTCTTTTATACTCAACTATCTATCTTAACAAAAATTAACAGGATGCTTTCTGCATTTAATTTTGTGTCAAAATAGGCCTAGTTAAAATCATGTTCAAATGTTGGATGTTTTTTATTTTAAATTTAGTGTTTTATACTGTTGCTGACGTTTAACCAATTGTTTGAGATCTTTAGCTATTTACGCAGGCATAATAGATATAGTTATGCAGCAAAACGATAAATTCAGTACTGATAGTATGGCCTTCTGGTCCACTCATCAATTATCTTTTTCTCTATCTCAAGCAGATCAATTCAACAAGTGTGTTTTAGCCATTAACAAATAAAAATTCACACAAACAATGTAAATGAATTCATGAAAAATGGCTCACAAAATATTTTGAAAAAGCATAATTTGGAATAGCCCAATGCGAATCCATTAATGTTCATTTTATTCAAAGTATACTATTTCCACAGGCGATCCCAAAAAGTGGAATGATCAAACGAAGACGGTTAGAGAACCAACTCAGCCTAACCATCCGCCACCTCGTACTCAAATTATCAACCCTCAACCAAATCAAACTGCAGCCGTTCCAGGTGATACGACTGCACAGAGTGTAATTAATGCTCCGAAGATTTCGATGCTGCGAAGTAAGTAAACTATAATCCGTAGAAGTTGGAATGAGTGGATGTTGGAGTCGTTTTTTAGTGAAATTAGTGCCTTGGACCTATTACGATGATATTTTAGTTGGAGTCAAATTTTTTCCTCAGCAGAATATTTTTGTCAGCGCTAAGGTTGAGGGATCTGAACTTTTGTCATCACTGTTAAAGTTGGAGTCGGCACTTTTGAATCCGAATCCGCTACTGATACGCAAAGAGATGTTATTGCATATGGTACGGATTATGTTTGGTTCACAGTTACTCGATGGACATTGGGCTTGAACTCGAGAGCTTAATCTGTGACGCCAATATTGCGGAGTCTTGCCCGGTGGCCACGACTGAAATCACTAGGCCAGGGTGGTTCAAACCCAGGCCCGCGGGACACATATGTCCCTCCGCTTCATTATCTGTGTCCGCGTCGTATTTGCAACAAGGTAAACAAAAATTGCATTTGGAGTTGTTTCGTCATAAAAATACCAAGAAAAATCTTTTCACATATTGTTACATCGCTAATGTCACCGAATTGACTAGTGTTATGGCTAGCTGAGGCAACTAGCGAAGTTGAATAATGTGCTTGGCAGTCTAAATTGTTAACTGGCTTTCTATTTTTTTGTGGGGAATATATGCTCACAAAATAGGCTTCATAGAAAACTAAACAACGGATAAGGAATCCATTACCCTATAGATTGGTTATGCCTGTTAACTAATATTAATGTAATGGCCAAAAAATATAATTCCTGTCAGGTGTTTCCTGTAAAAGTGTTTGTTTTGTATTGCACTATTGTGGCCCTCGATAAATACAAAAATAATAGTGTGACCCGCGAGGCCGACAACCTTGGACAACCACTTGGTCATTATGTTCGAATGCATTGAAATATCTCGTATAATGTGCTTTATAGTTTATACATGATTATATCTGAGGTATACTCTTTCATTTTTCAGAAAAATCTTCCAAATTATTCGACAAGTCTAAATATAAAGAAGCAGTCTCGATCTTAGAAGAACTGGCAACCATACAAAACCATCAGGATTTCTATACAATACTTATGATGGTCGATTGTTTTATACAACTTGGCAGAGAGAAGAGAGCAGAAAAATCTATCGGGAACCTACGAAATATCTTGATGACGTCATCAGTGACCAGTGCCGATGACGTCAAAACCCTCGCGATCGATTTGATTTCGAATTCCGCTTACATTCGCGCTATAATATTGCTTCGAATAGCAAGTGATATCTACAGAGCTCGCACAATATCCCCCGATGATGTAATGAATGGGATTCAACTTTGTGCCCGTAAGACATATGATGCCACTGAGCCATTGATAAAAGCCGGTGGTCGATCCAAAATTATAGGAGTGGATTACGGCATAGAATACATGACAGAAATGCTGGATGATATTCGCGCAATAGAAAACGCTGATCCAGTGAATAAAGCAATACAAGAGGCTTGGTGCTTGGTTTACATTGGACATAACTATTTACTGGCAGATGAAGCAGAGAAAAGTATAAAAATATATATGAATGGACTGGAGGTTTTGGAGAAACAGTTCGGGTCAATCGATTCAAAATATAAAATCTACGGTGTATTGCTGCATAATATCGGTATAGGGTATTATAATCTTCATCAATATTCAGAAGCCGAATCTTATTATAGTAAAGCCATTGATGCTGGTGAAAAGGCTTCAGATTATGGGAATGAAACTGAAAAACAGGAATGGATTGAATTGTCAAATACTTGGCTGAAGAACACTCGCGCACAATTAACCTGATATCCGCATCGCATATTCGCGGCAAATCGTAATTTACTAAAATTATCTCAAACACTGAATAAAATATTGGAATAGAATGAATAGAATATTGGAAGCATGGTTCATAGATAAAGTAATCAGGGATGGCCATTTCCGAATACTAAACTATTCCGAATACATTCTAAAATAATGTTTTCGAATCTGGAATTCCGAATACATTCTAAAATACCACATTTTTGTTTTAGTTGATTAAAACCCAGTAAATTAGGAAATAAGCTTCAATAGAAATATCAGAATGAAGCCACAAACCAACAGTATATGTACACAAGGTAATTGATAGTTTATAGCTATCAATAAAAAATAATAGCAACTTGTGACACAGTCAGTTAATTAAAATTAATCACTTTGTACAAATGACCATATGAAAAGTTGTCTGACGCTTTCTATCATTGGTACCATGATATTACGATAATAGTCAATGGTAGTGTATTCAGATAATTGTGTATATTTTCTGAGAGTAATAAAATTTATTGGCAATACCAATCGAAAATCCATTATGCCTTTAAAAATTCTAATATTTGGGCCTAGAGTATTCTACTACCTACCAGTATATTTGTATATCAATTTATGAGAACCATATTGTTATTATGTGTAATATATTGTTGTGTTTGGAATTAGAAATAAATTAGTAGAGAATAGATGACCATCACTGCGAGCGCGCAGCCAGGATTTTCGAAATCGGAATTTCCCATTGCCGCCTGTAACAACCACCGCGATTACGCGCTCGTTAAAAGAGTCGTCTTGTCAGCGTATAATGATGATCATTCTGTTACGTAAAATATTCAATCCATGACAACTACGAGATTCTAAAATATCTTTATATATTAATTTAATGTGTCCAATGTAACTCGCGGTTGCTTCTTCTTACGTCAAAAAAGAAACATTACTATTCCGTTCACGGCGATCTGTGACCTAAAATTACGAGATAAACTGCCTGATGTATTTAATTTTAATACGTATTTTTGCAATCTTGCCAACTCGTTATCGCCGTTAGAAAAATCTCAAATAATTATATAAAATCCTGTTAAGTGTAGAGTATAATTCATTTCATACAATGAATATACATATAAAGTTTAGCAGTAAATTAAAAATTCATATTCATCGCCGCGATTATGCCACCTGTTGAAGAAGTCGACTTTTACAACAAATATTATAACAACGAATATATATTTTTCTGTTGTGCAAAGTGATGAATTCGTGACCGAAACCGGCATATTTAAAATGTCTTGCTTTATTAATCTAATTGTCTTCAATTTAACCTGCGGTTGCGTCGACAAAATAAAATCCTCACCACTCTTATATACCATTGCAATCCGCGGTCATAAAAATAAAAACGTGAGGTAAACTGTCCGATTAAATATTGTTTTGATACGTATTTTGCGAATTCGGCAAATATTTAGATGTACTTGTTAACAGTGACTCCGCTCGATCGAAATGCTGCCACTCGGATTATTTTTAGATAAAACCGTTCGAAAAATCCATAAATATGCTGTAATATCTCAGAGTAAAATTTATTTCATCAAAATAAAATTGATTGAATATACTTTAGATTAATTATATTATATACATCCTCACAACCCGGGAAAAAGTCGCGTTTCAAACCTTGTATCGTGTTAACACGAAAATATTTGACGGCAATGTAAAATAATGGATAATCAGGCAAATCCCGCCCTCAATTAGTGACGATATGTTTCTAAACGCCGACCAAACATAATGTGTGCCAGAGGCACACGAAATTTTGCGTTCACTGCCTAGAAAAGCGTTTTTTAAATTTTCGCGGGCATCAATAAAACTTATATTGTGTACGGTTTTATTTTCAGTATTTTAAATTGCCGCTTTTCAATCAAAAAGTTGCGTTGTCTTTAGAAACTCGCCGCTGATGAACGTATTTACCAGATTCACAATTCCGTGCGTGTACAAAAATAAAATAAATGTTATCGTTATCGTGGAACAAATTTGTGGAAAATTTTCGTTTTAGAGAAAATAACACAATTGTAAAGGCGTTTACGGGCCTAAATATTACGTTACGCTGATGAGTGATGAAAACAATCACGCGCGAGGTACTATCGAGAATGTTTTCATTCAACGGAAACGTCTTGAAAGCGGCGTCGAAAATGTGTGACGTCACACAAATATCCGATATTCTTATGAACGTGAATTCCGATATTCGAATGACGAGATATTCGAATACTTTATTCGAATTGGCCATCCCTGAAAGTAATATTTCAAAATGTTTTCATTTATAGATCATACATGACCAGGCGTCAGTTGATTACTTGTTTACTTGTATTACTTAACTTAACAACTTAATTACTTGTAAATTTTGATTAATTCACTTAATATTTTTAAAACTCACTTTTTTGCAATATTACGAACACTCATTTCTGGTCGGAGTTACAGGCCACCACTAGTGCCAGAAGCTACTGAAACTATATAGAATTGTGGTGATGCACTACACGCACTCATACAGAACTAAAAGAAACTCATATATTAGAAAAGACGACCACTTCCAAATGCCAAGAGCCACTGAATATGATAGAATTGTTGTGGTGCATTATACGAAAAAAGGAACCAACATCTCTGTCAGTAAGAAGACTTGATGTTCATATTTATATATATATATATATATATATATGCATAACCTTAAGTCGAGTTTGGTAAAATGCAAAATTGAAGGAAATTATCAAAAAATGTAAAAAGCGATAATTTTAAAAAAAATTTGAATTTGTTTCTATTCACTTGAAGCTTAATTATTATCTTGTTTTGTTGATTCATTTTTCCAAAATTTTGCTCAACTTATATTTTGTCATTTTTATTATAATAACCATTACCGATTGTTATTTTATATCTATAGAAGTGTGTAGAATGTAGAGAACGTAATAAAGAGTTATTTTAATTCTAACGAATGTATTAATTCTAAATTTCGTTTACATTGATTTCTCATCTTAAATTCACAATTACATATAAATATCAGTCATTTTTTTTGTATTTTTCCCAGTGTAATTCAAATTATGAGCTGATCTATATTTTCTTGAATGATTCCAATGGCATGTTTTATGAACGTCCGATCAAGCATGGCTCATAGATAGCAACATTTCAGAATGTAGTCATCTATGGATCATACTTGATGAAGCGTTGAATTCAGCTTATATACCAAGTCAACACAATTGAATTAATTTTGTATTTTTCATTACTTCTAAATTTTAGTTAATTCGTTGAATCTTTTTAACATTTCACTCACTTTTTGCAATATTACGCACACTCATTTCTGGTCAAAGTTACAAGCCGCCATTAAAATACCAAAAGCTACTGAAACTATATAGAATTATGGTGATGCACTACACGCACTCATACAGAACTAAAAGAAACTCATCTATTAGAAAAGACGACCACTTCCAAATGCCAAAAGCCACTAAATATGATAGAATTATGGTGGTGCATTATACGAAAATAGGAACCATCTTGGTCGATACGATCATGAAAACTACCATAGCATGATTGGTTTTTGTAATTTGACTTAAAATAACTATCTGTTCACATTTTTACAATTTCTAACCGAGATTTTCTTTTCATTTCCATCAAATTGTATCTCATGCTGTTAACATATCATAATTGGAGTAATTTGCTTCTGTTTTGTCTTTTACATTTAACAACTGAACTTGACAATGTGGGCCATATATAATGCGGGATTGCTTCTATGGGAAATGTGTGTAGCATTTCATAAACTATCAAAAATATTGTAAAATTTTCTTGCATTGCAGCGTTGTACTTCTCAGAATAACTAACTTGTGAACTGATTTACTTTTCTGTTTTTAATTTGACAAGCATTAACTGGACAATGTTACCATACATGATGCCTGATTGTAGAATACAATTTATCTATGAGCGATGCTTGTTTACGGGCAATTTGTCAAAAGCTGTTAAAAATATAGTAACATTATCTTGCATTTTCACATTGTACCTCTCAGAATAACTAACTGGTTAATGCCACTAACCCGAGAGTGGCGAGTCATGGCCAAGATTTATTTACGAATATGAATCAATATCGAAAAAAAATACTCAATGAAGTTAACTTTATTTTGTGAAAATTGTTTTTTATATATTTCCAATTGTTTTCATTTTATTTTATCTTATTCCGTTATTTACGATCAATTTCCATCCGCTGAATTGAAGTTCAACTGACATTTCGATTGTTTTGACATTTTTATTTGAACGAATAAAGGAGAAATATCACTATAGGTTTATATTTATAGATATGCATAAGCCCAAGTCGAATTTGGTAAAAATGCAAAATTGAATAAAATTATCAAAAAATATTAGAAAAGCCATATATAATATTTCCAAAACTAACTTGAATTTATTTCTATTCACTTGAAGCCTAATTATTATGTTGTTTTGTTGATTCATTTTTAAAATTATTTTGCTCAACAATATTTTTGTCATTTTCAACATAATAACCATTACATATTGTTATTTTATATCTTTAGAAGTGTGTAGAATGCAGGGAAAGTTGTAAAGAGTTATTTCAATTTCACTGAATGTATTATTTTTGAATTTGTTTTGAATGATTCCTTATCTTTATTCACAACTACATGTAAATACCAGTTATTTTTATTGTAGTTTTCACATTATAAATTTAACTGTATGTCTAACGGTTCGCAAATTTTCTTCAAAAATATTTAAATTTGAACACAATTTTTTAGGTGGCGTTCTTATACCTTTACTCCTAACAAGCTGCCACTGATAAGTAGGAAAATGAACTTTTTGGAAAAATTCATTTACATTTCCAATCATATTTATTATTATACTCAGTCAACGCTAACTTCGTAACTCAATGAACGCCGATTTCACTCATCAGGGTTCAATGTTCTTGTGTGATTCTGCAAATCAGGTGATGTTTGCTGGTTATTTTATTGTCAAATATCAACTCTGTATTATGTATAATATACATGAACATTATTTAACAAAACCTATACGATTT